CCTTCATTTTAGACCCCAAATACTCAGTATTGCAAGTTGCTTTGTTACCATTTATCCTGCAGTCAAAATGGGACAGGAACCAATTAATAACTGTTTTAAATTCTAGTATAGATTGGTTTTATTAACAGCCACAGGTTAAATGCTAGGCTTGTCATGGCTTGCGTTCCTCTACTGGAAAATGAGGGGGCCTATGAGACTTCAAAAATGTGGGGTCGTACCTCATTTTTGTACTTCAGTGTGTATCGTCTAAATTGGCTTTTTAGAGAACTTGTTGACAAACTTGTTGATAAACTTCTGCCTCCTACAGCATCGATGATGCAACAGCCCTAATTCAAGAATATCAAGAGAAATGTGGAAATCCTACTCTGGTAGACATAGCATCATCTGATCTGAAGGTAAAACAAACCACCTTTGTACCTCACACAATATTTGCTGCTTTTTCTTCTAAACTAAGACTTTCACATAAGTTTTAGCAAAAATACGTTCGCCAATTTATTATAGTAAAATATATTGTATATAATAATCCCTTTATTAACTCCAATTAATTTTTCTTGAACCAAATCTGTGCCATGCTAAGCTTTGTTTTCAAATACTTTCACAGGTCTTGGATTATATCCGGTTTTCCTAAGCACTATTAATATTTTTCTTTTACCTTCCAGATGTAACTGAATGGACCAGAGGAGACCCCTATACTAGAACTGGCATTGAGAAGATCTTGATTTATCGAGATCTTGATTTACCCTTTTCTTTTCTCCCTCTACTGGCAAGATGAGGGCCATGCATTGAGAACACTTGCACTGGGCAGGTGAACATTAAACTAAAACCTCAATGCTCTTTTACCAAAAGCTACCCCAAGCTTTCCACACTTACTTTTTTTTTTTCCAACTGTTTTAGGCTGTTTCTTCTCCACACTCTATCCCCATTGAAACAGTTGAGATTTACAGCAGACTTTCCTGTTTCTATTCAACAGTAATGGTCATATTTTAGGAAGGACTGAAGTTTATTTCCTTTACTTCTGTATTTCTCCATGTTTAAGTCTGCTGTCAGGATCGCTCTAAGATTTCATTCACACAAACATAACCTTGAATAACTGTGATAAACTTTTTTTAAAACTGTAAGTGGTGTACTTCATGTAAAATAAACTTTGTAATTTTAACTACAGTGAGCACAAATAAACTGACTTACCTATCAATTTTGGCCTTACAGTATTCTATAAACCTTTTTTAATGATGAAGTTGTCAGTAAATTCATGTTCCACTCAGTCACTAACGTTCCTTGAATAACATTTGCCAAGTTTTTCTTTTCAGCTTTGTTATTTCTGCACGGCTGCAGCAGGATAAAGCCACAGGCACATGTTTCACAGCATGAAGCAGCAGTTAGCCCAAGGTTCCTGAGACACGAGGTGGAAACGCTTGGTCTTTTTCTAAGGTAAATCAGGTTTATCTTGAATAGAAGTTATCTTGTCAGCTTATGACACAGAAATAAGGGTTCTAGCTAATGGAAAACCATTAGTTTAACTCAAACCTTCCCGACAAATACTGTACAGCTTTTTGCACAGATACTGCACTGGAAAAAGTCCTAATAGACAGGCCACCATTCTAACAAGAAAGAGGCCACCATTCTCAATATTCTTCTGTGGAAGACAAAAGATAAAACTCTGGTTTTATTGGGGAAGTTACCAGTTATGAGGAAGGGGAGCTGTTAAAATACATTCAGTTCCCTGCAGTCATAAGAAGAGGACAGCCAAAAGGTCTGGTCTTCTTGAACAAGCAGTGGTTTTAGTCTTCAGCAGTAGCATGAGTGCCATAGGGAATTGCATTATTTAAAACCTCTGTTCATGGAGCGAAGTGCATACACATGTTGTGTCAGATACAAGCCATAAAGAAAGAAAAGCCTCTCTTCACTGTTTATAGATTTGAGACCATCACTCAGTAAAGCATAGTGGTATTTGAAACTGCCTTGCTGATAAAAGGACTAAAGTTAAACTCTCTACAGTGAAATTACTACTGCGAGTTATGAGTTAATTGTAATACTTTCAGAATCTATCAATCCACTTTATTCTTTCAACTTAATCAGGAATGTTAAATTGAGAAAATTAAATATCACCTGGACTCTGAAGCAAACGTAACACGGCCCCAGAGCCCTCAATCTTTTTGTGCAAGCCCTTTACAACTATCCTTTCGAAGTAAGTCACCAAACCAGAGCATCAGGCATTTTACAAGCAACTACAACTGTTGCATTTTTTCCCAACAACAGTTCATAAAGCCGAGTCTTTCTATGAAGTGGAATTTATTACAACATTAAGGAACAGTATTTAAACAGTTATTTTAATGGAGTATTTTACAAATCAATTCATACAGAGAAAAGCAAACACAATGTTGTTTGAAAGTTATTACCAATAAGCTACATTGTTAAGCTGTTAGCGAGTAAGTGTAGTATTGTAAACTAGCAATCAAGTATTGTAGTAACTTGCAGTTCAGAATGAGATGGTAAAAATACCAGACAAGCAAATACATTTTTAAGACTTTTTGTACTCAATTCTTTCTACTTTCACATCATCTCCAATTAGTTGATAGACATACGTAACTACTGTAGAAGCCTGGATATCCATCAGCACAAATGAAGGAATGATGTTGCTGGAAAGAGAGGAAAAAAAATCATATTAATTGCACGTATATAGTCGCCTTAGCAATGTTTCACCACTAGTGAACAGAAATCAGTCTAAGAAAAATGGATATGAACGTTGTAAGCACAGCACATCCAATCTGAAGCTTTAAGGATTTCATTCTCCTCTGTTTCAGTCAAGGAGATTTAGCAGGTACCGCCAACCCTTCCTCTCCCCAACACTGAGAATATAAACACTTTGCAATAAGTTTTGTAGTTCAGTTTTGTTATCAAAAAGAAACGCCTCACCGGTTATTTCCAGACTTCACTTACTTCTCTAAGGCATGGTAAGCTCCTGTAGCTGATCCTGGATTGATATAGAACTTGTTTTCGTGTTCAAATGCCTCAAATTTGTGTGTATGTCCTGAAATTAGGATGTCCACATCAAACTGCCTTTGTAGCAGTGCCAGGCTGGCCATATCACCCCAAGGAATAACCTGGTGGCCATGAATCAGCCCGATTTTGAACTGTCCGACAGTTACAACTTTCTGTTCAGGATAATTCAGGTTCTAATAAAAAAATAAATTAAAAAACCAGATTAGATTTACAGCTTTATATCTGAAAATTTCTATGCAATGCCAAAAAGGGGGAAAGCTTATGGCAATATTCAATATAATTGGCCCTACCGCTACAAAATGACAGCTACAAAGCTGCTTTTATGAACACTGTGGAGAATGTGGCAGGATGCAAGGAACTTCAAAGATCTGACAACAGCAGGTCCTGGAGACATAGCCAGGTATGCAAATTACTTTCAGTCATACTGATGACTGAAGAGAACTTCCTGTGCAATTCACATTATTGATTGTAACCCCAGCTCTTTTGCACAGTTTTCTTTTCGCATGCTCTTAGTACTACATAACCTCAGCTTGCTCACTTTTATTTGAATTACAAATAACCCAAACGTTGCCTTTATGCAAAAGATGCACAAACCCCATCATTATCAACAGAGGACACTACCTCATCGAAGTCCCCTCTGACAACATGAACATCCCCAGCCAGAGTCTTGAGGTAGTCATAAGTGTCCTTGGTGCAGAGGTTTCCTGTGCAGAGGATGTGTTGGATCTTTCCTGGAACCAGCAGTTTTTTGAATTTGGCTGGGAGGCTGTTGCATCGATGCGGAATGTGAAGGTCTCCTAATACTAACACCAACTTATCAGGTGTCACGACAGGAAAGAAAGATCGTTACGGATACTTATTAAGACAAGAATCATTGGCAAACAGAAAGCATTGCAATGTTTTCTTCAGTTTTGCAACCCTGCGTGTAAAAGCTACTAAAATTACAAATGAAATGGTGATGGAATATTGCTATACTGAGGGAAAACAAGGGCCCTTACCAACATCAAACATTATCCAGAGGGGGGGGCCTTACAAACACAACAGTCTACAGAATTTTTGTGTTTATTTTCTTGCTGAAAGCCATTGCAAGGTATAGCAACAGAAATGTGCTATTACTTGATGTATTTTACACAAATTTGGGAACTAACATAAACTACCCCACTTATTTTTTTCTCCTTAAACATCAAAAAAAGAAGACATCTCTAGTACATGTTCTCAAGCTCAGACCTGGCTAAACTGTGGCCACTTCCCTTTAAAATTCTTCATCCAAGTTTCTTTCTACTTTAACTAACTTCTGTTTTCTTCCTTATTAAGGAGAAAAAAAAAAAAGGCAGCAAATTTGCAACACGTGTTAATAGCTGACCTGCTCAGAGTCCACATTGTTGGAACCTCTGAAGGACAAGATAAGACCGACAGTTTAAAAAAAAAAAACAAAGAAAAAAAAAACACCAAAGAAAACAAAACCCAACCCCAGGGCACTGCAGAGAAGACAAGCCAGACCACTGCACACAGCGGTTCCGTTACCGGTTCTGTATATTCATAGCTTCAGTACCACAGATGCAAGGAGAATGCAAATTTAATGGGGGCTTCAAAATTAAGGATTCAGATGAAGTAAGATCATAGTTTAATATCACAAGCTTTAAATTGGCAAATTAGGAATTATTAATGCTAGCAACACAGCAATAATTAATTAATTATGCAAAAAGGGCACAAAAAGCTCTAGGAAGCATGGGGTGTTATGCCACTACACTGGAGAGACACTGGATCTAGAGACAGTCATCCCCGTTAACTTGATCCTTTCACATGGAGCTATTCATCTTCAAACCATAATGCTTTGTTTGTAAGACAGTTCCAAAAATGACAGCCATCGAATGTGTTTCGAAAAGACACAGCCCACATATATATACATACACGTAAACAGTAGTAACTATGCTGAGAAATTTACCTTTTTTAATATTTGTTTTTTAAATTTTCAGGCCACGCAGCTATCTTCACGCTAACAGTCATCAAAAACCGCGGAGGGAACTTGGGTGGGTTTTTTGTTTGGGTTTTGGGTATTTTTTTGGATTAAGGAGGTCTCGGTGCCACGACCAAAGCCACGCATCTTTGGAGAACAGATGGTTGAAAGTATCGGTAAAGCAATATGAGAGGTTTTAAATCAATGAGCTACTAATTTGAAACTAACCCAGAAGGGAAAAAAAAAAAACCCACACCCACATTTTTGATGGTCTTTCAAGAGTGCCCAGTGAAAAATATCCTTGCTAACATCAGTCTAGAGATATACTCGGATGCAAGTGAAAAATGAGCAACAAGTGATTTTGATTACTAAGGTGGCAATAGATAAGATTCTCTTGATGACCCTCAAGGGATTCAGACATGCAATAAGAGTTATGTATTTAGTGTTTAATAAAATTATACCCCCACTTCAAACACATAACACCACTGAAGTCAGCAGAGTTTGTGCATTCAATGAAAACCACTTCCTTCGCTGACAAACCGTCAGGCCCCATATTTTCCCCCAAATCACATTCGAGCTCCTATTGATTAAAGGAAAGCTTGGCAAGCTACAATAACAAAACCAAATGAAAAGCATCGAAGTGTGTTTAATAATCACAGATATCTGCCACATAAAATAGTGGCAAAAAATGTTACAACATCTGGCTTTAACTAGGAATTTGGGTGCGATCTTGAGCGTGGTTTGAATGGCAGCCCCTAATTCCTATGCACCACCTGACAGTCGTATCATCTGGTAACATGAACAAGCCCTTACCACCGGTGTTAGCAACAGCCAAGAGGAGTAAACTTACTCTGTGCCCAGCCTTAGTGGAATGAAGAAGTTGATTGCAGACAGGGGGGAATGAAAAACAGGGTGAAACATGATCAATGTTAAACAAAAGAAAGCAACAGAAAAGAAAATATAGCCAAATGAATAGGCAAATCATAATTAATGAATTGTTGATGTTATGAAAGAAGCGTTGTTAGCAACAGCCAAGAGGAGTAAACTTACTCTGTGCCCAGCCTTAGTGGAATGAAGAAGTTGATTGCAGACAGGGGGGAATGAAAAACAGGGTGAAACATGATCAATGTTAAACAAAAGAAAGCAACAGAAAAGAAAATATAGCCAAATGAATAGGCAAATCATAATTAATGAATTGTTGATGTTATGAAAGAAGCGTTAAAAAAATAATAATAATTAAAAACCGGCTCCTGCGCGCAGCCCCGGCAGCTCTCCC